ATAGCTGAATGAATGTGGGCCCATAACTGTTTACATTCTCTTCTACTCCTCATTGAGAAATTCTGCAGAGATTTTCCACAGCTCTAATTTTAAGCACCATATCTGTTATCTTACATGAAGGGGAATAGTGATAAAGTGATATATATTGGCCTGGCTGCTATCTGCCTACTGTCAATTCCAAATTGTATATTCTTAGTGTATATTTCTGTAGGGAATTCTAAGTAAATGTTGTGGAAATTAAAGAAATAAATAAAACAGCTAAATTAAATAAAATATAATTAATAATAAATTGCTGTAAGAATGCAATTTTTGCATCCATTGTGCATTCGCTTCTTATATTTTTACATATATATGTGCTATTTGAATAAAAAGATCTACATCTTTTTAACTGTGTGTTCTTGCAGTAAACATTTTTGAATGTGTTTAGAAAGAATAGTGACGTGACATGTGACGTGGCCAAGTATGGTGACCCATACTCGGAATTAGTGCTCTGCATTTACCCATCCAAAGTGCACACACACAGCAGTGAACACACACAAACCGTGAACACACACCCGGAGCAGTGGGCAGCCATTTATGCTGCGGCGCCCGGGGAGCAGTTGGGGGTTCGGTGCCTTGCTCAAGGGCACCTCAGTCATGGTATTGAAGGTGGGAGAGAGCGCTGTACATTCACTCCCCCCACCTACAAACCCACAACCTTTGGGTCATGAGTCCGACTCTCTAACCATTAGGCCACGACTTCCCCCAGTATATTATATGATAATATAATAGCTGTTATATTATCAAATTTTAGGTATATTGCTCAGTCCTACTAGATACCAATTTTCAGCATAGGCCGAAAAAATCCTGCCAAACACAAAAGAGCAATGCAAAGTGTGTGCTAAATGTTATGTGGTTTTAAAATAATAATAATAATTTTGAGTGCTATACAGTGATGCTTTGTAAACAGAAACACAGTATTTTCTCTGTCCTCTAAACAGTCTCCATCACTCAAAGTGTACAGTTTTCATCATGAATGAATAAACTAAACGAAACAGGCAGAAGTAATGCTAAGAGATTCAGATTCTTTAAGAACAAACTCGCCTTCAAGGGACACCGACGGTTATTCTGACGGTGGCTAGCTCTCTGTGAGCCAACTGCTGATTAATATCACCAAACCAAAAAAAGCACATTTTCCATATTTAATTAAATTTTCATGACCTCCCTTAAGAGGAAGAACATTCTCGCCAGTATGATGTCTTAAACAGTTAATGCATTAATGCCATGCATAATCACGTTACGCAAAGCTATATAACCTGACCTCTGTCTGTGTTTCCCCATGGGCCACATCCTTAACATTGTAAAACTATCATCAAGTGGTTTCAGAAAAAAGGCTGATCTCTTAATAAAAATATGGAAAACACACATACAACACAAAACAATGAGCGTTAAGCAGGCACAGAAACCTCTGGAAATAATTGATCATAAGATAATAACTGGCCAAGAGGGGCTACTTAATGTGATTAATATTCCCAGCAGAGATGGGAGCAGTGATTTAATGGTGCACTGCTGCTGACTCTCTCTTTGCCTTGTGCAACGAGTCACATGAAATCAACTGACAGCCTGTTTGTCTGGGCAGCTCTGAGCTGGCAGAGGACTGTGGAGCGTCAGACTCTGTTCCGTGTTTTGTGGTTGTTTTGCTCCTCATGTGCCTTCCTTTTCCATGTTTAATTTGTCCCAGGTGTTTCCCTTGATTGTTTCATTTGCTCCCAGGTGTGTCTCGTCATCCCCTCCTCCTGTGTGTGTATAAATGGTGTTCCCAGTCCCAAATTCTCTGTCTGCTGTTAAACGTCTTCCTGAGTTTGTCTCCCTGGGTTCCTGTAAATAAAGTCTTGGTAAAGTATTCTCCAGCGTCTCCTCGTTCCTCGTGTGTGTGCAGTGTGACATGGAGACAGAAGACCCTCTCCTCCTTGACTAGGGGGAAAAAAATTGCTAAGATGAAAAATTATATTATGTAGTAGAACAGTATTATATAATATTTTTACTTTATTGAAGTAGAGTGACTTACACAGATGAGCATTAGGTCATTTTCATTGTATGTAGTCACCATAATTAATTTATATAAATTAAAATAAAGACAAATTAAACACAAAAAGGTACTGAGATGAATTCAAAGAGATAATTCTCTGTGTCAACCAATCAACGTTATGTAGTGACTCTAGCTCCACCCTTTAGGTACTGAACTACTGTGCTAGGTACCCCCATGAAAGGGTCCCAAAAAAGTGGTTCCCTATTTTGGCACCATTCACAACTTCTGACAATGGAAATGAGCCATTAGACTAAAGCCATTAGACTAAAGATGCTGTAATCATTTTTAGGAAAGGACACACTTAAAATGACATATCACAGAACACCCTACTACCTGACAGATTTCACAGAAATTGTCCTGAGATATCATACCCGTCTTTGTGACAGCCCTGAGCTAGTAGAGGAAAAATAGAATAGACCAAACAAAGATGGCCAACTAGAAAAATAGCCAATTCAAAACAAGCCTGTGAATAAGGCAAAATATTATTTGGGATTGACAAATTAATGGTGTAGTCCCTCATAATAGTCAGAAAACACTACATATGTAAATACTATATGGAATTTTCCAACTACTATTGATGGAAATCAACCCCCCCCAGAGACTTTGTCCCCTCCATGTACAGTGTTTATGCGAGGTCCAGTCTTACTTAAGCCAAGATAAACATGCCTAACATACTATTTCTGTGTTCTTTGTCTGTCTGTTTCCTAGGTCTACATTTCATTCTTTCTCTTTAACAAGATTATCGGCAACACGCTCATTCTTGCATGTTATTCTGTGTATTGAGCAAAATGTTCAAGAATCCTTACTGTGCTAATAAATATGGACTTAGCCCTAAAGTGTAGCAAGATTTAAAACTTGCTAATTACAAATATTATATTCATCACTCAGCATGACAAAACCCTTAGAGGGACAGACTGTTTGCCCGTGTCTTTGACAGCCCCCCATCAGGATGAAACACTCAATGCTAATACATCAGTATCAAAATTTTTTCATCTGGCTTATTTTCTTGCTAGACTTTCCTTTTGCAGAAGAATCCAAATGGTTGTTTCAATGTAAAATATGAGTAAAGAACACTGATTTGAAGTAACACCATATAAAAACATCCACTACCAACAGTTGTCTCCAAATAAGAGCCAGGGACCAGAGTCCATATATGGAACTTCATCTGTAGGCATAGCCAGATCAGCGTGGTGTAGGTTGCTTACTTCAAAGCGATGCGTTTACCTCTGTTTACATTTGTGCATGTCCTCCCATTAATCAGCTTAAAATAAGCACAAGCAAGGGAGCTTTTCCATTTCAAGATCTTGGAGCAAATTCAGAACAGTTTATCTTTGACTGTGCAAATCTGTTATCATTATCCTCGCTGTCATGGAAAATATCTGGGGTTCAGGCCACCTTGTCAAATATGTGATCATACCAATAAATGATCTGAGGCGGAGTGCCAAAAGAGGAGATGGGAGAGGAGAGCCTGTTCCCTGCCAGAAGTCCTACTGCTAGAGCTCAAGCTCAAGCCGAGCATTGCAGCAGTTATGGAAATGTAATTAGTCACCCAAATAAGCAGTTCTGGAAGTCCGAGATATTCTGCGGTATGTCTCTACACAGATTAAGCAGATCCGACTTGTGGAACACTTCTACTTAGCTCATTCACTCCAAACCAGATGCTTTTTCATTCAGTTCAGACTTCAAGAACCACATTTATCAAAGCATTTATTGTGTGTCAAAGGTCTGTTACTGAAGGAACTTAATCACCTCAAGCAATAAAAGTAGGCTATCTCTTACTCTCTTTTGATCCAGCTAAATACTTTTGCCACTTAAAGTACATTAGGCTCAAATTTGAGGTAAAAATGCATGCTGCTGCAATGACTTATTGATTATAATCTGACCATATCACAACTTCCTCAATTCACACTTTTTCACATGGGTACAAAAACGTCTGGTACAAGCCATGATTTAAGGAGTACTGGGAAATCTAGGAGTACCCACTACATAAAAAAAACTATTTATTAATATGAGATTCTGAAATAAATTGCGCAAAATGGTGAGCAAAGCTGGTGGGGAAATGAAAGAGTGAAAAGTAAGCAACAGGAGAGCTGCAAAGGAAAATGAGTCAGAAAAAAACTTACAGCAAACAGACACATCAAGGGGGAAAACATATTTAATGGGAAATAAAGAACAAAGATTGAAGAGATAAAATCAATTCGATGGCTTGGAAATTGATGAATTTATCATTTTTGATTTCACCATTAGTAGGGCTCGGCAGTAAGGATTTCTTCTGCATGCCTGGGCCCTCATTTATCAACAGTGCGCAGAAAAGGTTCTATATTTTGTACTACGAATGAAATTTAGAATGTGTAAGTACAAAAAAACAAAATTCCATATTTATTAAACATTCGCACGTGGTTCTTACGCACACCAGTAAGTAATCATTGTTAATAAATCCCACATGTTCTTAAGCACCATGCTCGTTCACATTCATGGTCATTTGCATTCAGAAACGCCTCCAATGAACCATATATGGTGACAACACCTCCCTTTATAAATCATGTGAAAGTATATGTCCTCACCAAAATCATGGCAAAGAAAGTGGTACCGACTGAGAAGCCAGTCTGTGTTCTCACTAAACAGATCAGCGCGGTCTTTGAAAATGTGTTCTCTGCACAGCTACATTTCAAATGACTTCCAAGCTGTCTTTTATAGCTTTTCACACCAATTCTGCAAATATCTAGCTTGAATTATGAAATTACTAATTACTTGCAATTAAAGGACACAGGAAACAAGCGAAGGCACTTTCTTTTTGTAGTATCTCCATTTTACCACTAGATTCTCTGCGTAAGCATGCTCAGAGTTGTGCTTATATTTACACACACACTTAAGTACAAGTTGGATCCCGCACTTTGTGTGAAGCTGTTAAAAGAAAAAAAGATACACTTACGAAATCTCATCGTTTTGGAACTCCAAGACTCCATGGGTATCTTCAAAGTCCTCTCCTCCACCTTTTGCTGTGCCTTCAATGGATTTATAAGGGATTACCACTACTCCACGAGCTCCAGAGGTACGTGCCACCTTCACCTCCATCATACCAATGCTTTCACTGACATGAACAATTGGTTCCTCAAATGTGAAGATGCCAGCGTGGTCATCGTCAAAGATAGTCACAGTAGCTGTTGAAGGAAGGCCAAGACTAGCTATTGTGTCCACATGATTGCCGCCTTTCTCATTGTCGGTTCCTTCAGAAATGACCTTGACGTTGAGGAGATGAACCAGGAAGTGTTCGTCTTCTTCAAAAATGTCATCGTCAATGATGTCCACTCTTATCTCCTTTTCTGTCTCACCTGGTTTGAAGACTATAACACCCTCGGTGAACTGGTAATCAGAGCCTGCATTGGCAGTGCCGTCCTCAGTGCGGTACTCCACTGACACAGTGCTAGTTAAGTCACCGCCACGTCGTACCACATTCAAAGCCACAGTCCCGCAGTTCTCGAGACACTGATATGTACCAGGGTCAAAGAAGATCTTAGAGGAAATATCATTATCTGAGACTTCCGATCGAAGTTCGTGATTGCCTAGTGCTTTTCTGGCTTGGTCTGCAGCATGCTTTTTTAGTATATTACCCGCACCGGTCATAAGTCTAGTGGCCTGGCAGCGATAGAACGCACGGCTCTTCTGTTGCTGGCTGAGGACGTGGTAGTTGGCGAGCTCAACCAATTGCTCCATCTCTTTTTCTGGATGTTTCTGTTTCAGTTCCTTCAAAATCCTGGCCATTTCTCTTCTGGCCTTATCCTCATCCATGTCTTTATCTTCAGTATCCACCGTGCCATCTAAGATTTCATCACCGTGAGAGTTAAGCATCCCGCCATCCATTTCAATATCCGCCTTTGACTGGAGCTCCGGCTCACCTTCAGTCTCGATGATCATTCCCCTTTGTTTTCCGACTCTGTAGCGTTTGTACAAGTACTTGTAGAATAAAAGTCTGCGGTCTGCAACCCAAGCAAATATGACACAAATTGGAAAGAAGAAGAGCGTAAGGAGTCCCTCCCAGACTTCCACGATACCTGGGGAAATCACTGCCAAGATCAGATAAAGCCATATATATGCAAATATACTCCAAGTGGCGGTGACAAAGAACACCCGCAGGTGCTTGACCTTCCGATGCTCTCCTTCCGGTATCACAGAGACACAGAAACCGATGATGACAAACATATTAAAAGCTGCGCTTCCAACAATGGTGTTTGGGCCCAGCTCGCCTGCATCAAAGTTGTGCCCACACACTTCAACCACGGAGAGCATAATCTCTGGGGCTGAGGAACCTAGAGCCATGAGAGTAAGATTCGAGACAGTTTCATTCCAAATATGAACAGTAGTGGTTGTGGTTTCCCCGTTAGGCTTCTTGATTGTGATCTCTTTCTCCTGGGATGTAATGACCTCAATGGAAGCCATAAAGCGGTCTGCAATGATGGATACACCCAGGAACATGTAGACCAAACCAACGAAGTACACAGTGGCTCTGGCCAACTTATCCCCAAAGGACGGGTTCTCCGGTGTCCAAATTGGCAAGATCACTCCCTCTTTGCATTCAAAACTACCTCCGCAAGTCTCGTGTGTAGAGTTTTCGTTAGAAGCATCTACATCTAAGCTTGATTTGGAGCTGCCTGCAGTGGCTGGCGTGGGCTCATAGGAGAAAACTAAGAGGAAGATGCTGAGTTTTAGAACGAGAGAAAAATAGGATGAAGTCCCAGATTGGCCCATGTTTGTAGTGAGGTATTTTGTTCCTGCTCTCCCGTACCCTGTGAGGAAAGAAAAAGTGAAGTGAATCATCAAGAATGATACAAAACCAAGAGGGTTGATCAGAAATTATGCAACAGTTGGTTCTGATGCTCAAATTTGACTGGTCGAGCAATGTTCCGAAAGTGCTAATCTTTACAGTTTACAGTGACAGCACTGGGAAGTTTCAACATTTGTATACAAGCTTGTCTGTGTTCACGGCATTTCGGACATGAGTATATGTGAATGGTGCTGAGAGTAAGCAGAGTTTGCCTGGAGTGAAGATTGTTTTGTTTTTTTTGAAAGTCAGAGCATCAGTGTTTTACCTCACTCCACAGTTGATCGGAACGGGGAAAACACAGTGAGGAAATGGAAAACTTGAAGTGGAGTTAGCCAAAAGTGATTGCAGAAAGTGTTGAGAGTTGAGTACTCATTTCCAGTCCATTTTTTAGACTGCAAACTGCTCGGTGATGCCGAAGCCTCAACTAACTATTTTCTTTGGTGGAGAAGAAATATACAAACCAATTGGTCAATTTTCCCTGAAAAATAGTACTCCGTATACTATACAAAACTGTCTTGTAAAACCAATAATGCATTTACAGTAGTGTTGTAGTACTGAATATCAGTGCAGCTGTGATTACCTGCAGCCCGTGATAATATTGAGTACTCTTGCGTGTGTTTAATTATTTAATTAAAATATAAGAGTTAGAGGAGTGTCTGTTCATTAATTAATTTATTTTAAAGTTGATAAGCTGGTTCAGATACTTGGATCAAGTAAAAAGAGATCAAGATGGCGCCGCAAATGGCAGCCAGGATAATCACATTCCTTGTGTGTCTAAACATACTTGGTAATAAAGCTCTTCTGATTCTGATTCTGATTCTGATAAGTGACCATATCTTAAATAAACGACTGAATGTTTTTGTAGATAAATATGACGTAACAGTACACCAGCATTAGTCAAACACACACTCACTTACACAACAGCTGTTTCGCATCAAACAAAAACTAATAAAAAAAAAAAAAAGAATTTTTAATTATATGCAAGTCAAGTCAAATCTTGCATATAAGCAGCTGTAAAGCTGCTTTCACACAATCTGTATAAAGCGCTATATAAATAAAGGTAATTTATATAGTGCTTTATACAGATTGTGTCAAAGCAGCTTTACGGTGTTAAACAGGAAAATAGTGTGTCAATAAGGCAAACAATGCAAATTAACCTGGATCTCATAATTACCCAACTGGGGGGGGGGATAACATCAGAACTAAGATGTTGTTCTGGTTCTAGTAGGTCACCCAGCCTGGTCAGGGTGGTGTGTTGGCTTGGTCTGTACAGGTCAGATTGGGAGACCAGCTTGCTGACCAGCTTTGCCAGGATGTGTGACCATCTTAAACCAATACATCCTTTTACATGTCATAAATGAACAATAGATTGATGCAGGCAGAGAAGTATTTATGAATGGAAATGAGCAAAATATCTGCTGAACTGCTTTTGAGCTTGACATTTGCATTTTAAAGATGATTAATCTGTGTGCTAGATTAAAGGGGGGAAAACGTATTACTTTGAATTTACACTTTTCCTTTTGATCCACAATACTATAATATTGCACATAAACACATCCTCTATTTACATTTAACTGCAGACGGCATGAAACATAGTAAAGCCCAAGTACATTAATTTACCTTTTAAAGAGAAATGCTGCGTTGATGTGAAAGACACCACATGTAGATACGGCTGTGGTAGTGACGCTCGGAGATTCCGGCAAAAACAACCTCAGTCAACCGGACCGTTTACCGGAAACGCTCATTTGCAAAGTAACGCGACCGCTCACTCTCATCCTCCAGTAGTTGAATCATTCTGGTAACGAGACGAGAGCTGTGTGTGAGACGCGCGATTCATTCAGAGCTGCGCGGGCAGAGTGTGCGGCGGAGAGTTGTAGGCTACTTTTCCTAAATGCTGCAAGCATATTTCAGTACGGATTCGCATGTCTGATCGGAGGAGGGGATTGTGTTCGGATAGTGCGGTGGCTTCGTGCCAGACTCCCAAGGGTTGATAACACCGACTGGGAGCACACACAACTCAATACTCTGATACAACAATAAGTGCCAGACACATTGTCATACATTGTCCATTAAGAATCACCATTTGTCCCCTTGATGTGATTTTCAAAGGCATATTAATGCCAAATTTTAGGCTAAAATTCTTACTTGATTAACATAAATTCTGAATAATTAGTTAATTATAATTAATTAAATCACATTACTTAGGCTAAATAAAACCATAAAAGTTAAAAACATAAAAACTGTTAAATAAACATTTTATATAGCCTTTTACGTTTTATATAATATTACATTGAAGACGCTGCACTCTTAAAAATAAAGGTGCTTCAAAAGGTTCTTCAAGCGATGCCATAGAAGAACCATTTTTGGTTCCACAAAGAACCATTCAGTTAAAGGTTCTTTAAAGAACCATCTCTTTCTTACCTTTTTGTAATCTGAAGAACCTTCTTTCGCCACAAAGAACCTTTTGACAAACAGAAAGGTTCTTCAGATGTTAAAGGTTCTTTATGGAACCATTTAGACAAAAAGGTTCTTCTATGGAATCGTGAAGCACCTTTATTTTTAAGAGTGTGGGTGATTAGGGCGTTGCAATGAAGGTATTGTGGGTGGTCACTGGCTTTGCTGGGCGGTTGCTAAGGTACTCTGGGTGGTTGTTAGGTGGTTACTAAGGCGTTTTGGGTAGTTGCTTAGAATATTTCCCAAATTCTCACACAAAGCCTTCTGTAATCAATCGGCTCCCCCTCCAAAGTTGTCCATTTCCTGCTCCGTTAATAAAAGCCCGCTCCGAGCGATAATGGAGGAAGTTTTACATTCGGCTAAAACCACAAATCTCGCTAGAGAAAACATAGACACTGTGATTTGTAAATTCTATGGGTCTAGCTTCCGTTCTCATCCGCGTCCAGCTATTTTTAGTTGTACAGAACCGCTCCTTTTGCTGCTTGATATTGAAAATTGGTATGTCTTACCATATTATTTTAATGTATTATCTTAATTATGAACACACTGGTTTGTAGTGCAAACAGTTTTACCGTTTACTGCACGTTGTTATTCTTTTCGTTATTTCCCTATAGCGGCTAATGAACCGGAAGTCTCACCCATAGGCTTACTTCTGCATTGAAGAAAAAGGTGGATATTATATTCCACTCCCTGCTCCGCTTTGACTCCACATTGACTCTTGACGCCATGAACACGTGGAGTAGGCCTACAACAAACGTAAAACGTCACAAGGCTATACTATCAGCACTTTTGGAAAGCCACTTGGCGAACACACAGTGTGTAAGCAGGCCTACGTATGTACGTGTATTTCAAATATATAAACTTAAATATTTTAAGCAACATTTCTATTTCTCATAGTTTAACTTTACTAAAATAACTATAACGAAAACTGAAAAAAGTAAAATAATGGAAACCATAGACTTAACAAGCAAAATTAATATAAAAATGTAAAATAGGCTATAAAAACTTATACATATTATACAATACTTTGTCATTCTTCCAATTGATCAATATATGCTCAAATTAGCCTAAATGACCATAATATACGTTCATTTGGTTGATGCATGTAATATTTACTTAGAGGATGTATGTGCTGTAGTTAACATTTAGCAGAAATGTATCAATACAGAGCCGTGCCATTCAGCTCCCTGTCTGTGTTTGTGTCATTGAATTGCAACTGCAGAAAATGCATTTTTGTGCCCTGTCTTGAGTCAGTATTACGGCATTCCAGGTCACATTTGCCAGTGACGTGATTTCTGTCGTGATGTGTCTCCCTGCGTTAGACCAATATAACCTGAAGGGCCTCCATTAATTTGAATCATGTTTCTTGTAGCGCCTTGCCGATGGCTCCCTAAACGGAAACAATGCAGATGCAAAATCAGTAGAAATGCAAATATATGCATGCATACAGTATAGAGACTGTCTTACATACCCGATGCGATCTGTGTGTAATTGGACTTAATTAAACATTGGGTAAATGCACACATGCAAGAGATGAGAAGCAATACCAGCTGGATTAGATCACAATGACTCTTGGAAAGTGGACTTGTGACCTCCAAAAACTATGGATGTGCCACATGAATCAATTTTATATGAAAGTTATACCTAAATAGAACAGTTCATTACATCTTAACATATGACTAAAATGATTATTCTTCATTTCACATGGTCTTTCAGCCTTAATCTCAAGATGTGTCCTTGTGCAGAAGCAAACACAAAATGTCCGAATGCAGCTTGCCGTGAACTTTACATCTTGAGGCTTTTGCTGTTGTGGGCAGCTTTCACCTCACATAGCTCTACAGCTGTGCTGTGAGACATCGAGGCGAGGCCTTGAGACGGAGTGAGCTCACGATTTTGTTATTCCTTCTGTAAGATGATTATTTGTGCTTGCAGTTCCACAGACATGCCTGCCTCTCATGCCTGACCTGGCTAACAAAACCTCTCCAATGTAAAACAAATAAATAAATAAACAACAGCATGTTGTCACTTGCTCATATGGACAGTCAGTCGATGTACTGTAGTCATGTCAGGAAACAGCTAGACTGTTCCGAACACTCTTACTTCATTGACATGAAGTCATAACCGGCATGTATGAGCTGTAGCGATTTCCTGGGCTGAATGTCTTGATAATAAGGTTTGGAAGAAGCTGGAATGATAATGCATTATGTAGTTTTTCCTTTTCTCATTCTCTTTGTTTGGCTTGGTTATCCGGATTATTAGGCATCATATACTTAATGTTATATGTAAATCACGGTCAGCTGAAATGAATTTAAAAGTTCAAATCACACTGAAAAAGCATTGTCACTGTAATAATATTACTTCCAAGCAGGGTCAAAAATATGTTTTTTTTTTGGGCTACAAAATTTTGCCAATAGCAAGTAAACTGAGAAAATTGATCAGCCATGAATGACTATGAATCTGTTTTGCATAAAACACACACACACACATATATATATAGAGAGAGCTTTTCTTATAGCTTTTCTCACAGGCTCGATAAGATAAAGTTAATTAAAAATTGGTAAAAATTTCAAATTTTGTATAAAACTACACCATGACTTGAAAACACATTGTGATTTTATTCCTCTTATCTCTTATCTGAGATTAATGTGAGGAATATTCCACATGTGTCACTACATCCCTCATAAACCTCTGACGGTAAATTTTCCAATGAACTAAAACTTGTTAAAAGACACATGATTTACATTAGCGAACATCAGATTACTATTTTATAATTTGATTCAAATCATGCATCATATTCCAATTCCAAATAAAGTTATTATGTGCCAGTTAGCAATTAACATTTTTTCTACTTGCCAAAGCCAGTTTTGACTCTCATTTAGCACTTGGCGAGTGTTAAGTTGGACTGTTCCAAGTACTGTAATAAGCAAAAAATTATGTGGCATAATTGATTTTTTGCAAATTGATTTTTTCCCCTAAATTATTACTTCCTACAAAATAATAATAATAATAATAATAATAATATTCATGGCATCTTCTCAACCCCTACCTTTTTGTTGTTAAATCAGTTGTTTTCTTAATTACGTAGCATAAGCAGTCAGAAATGTTCTCAATTAGAACATTTCACACAACAACAATCAAAAGAAATTATGATCCCACTGCAACTGATGCCAGAACAGAAAAGCTTATTCATTAATGCAAATGATGTCACCTTAACAGTGGTTAAGCCATCCAATAAGTCATTCATCCAATAAAATGATGCCTTTTAATGGAACTTTGCCTACCTAGAGATCCCTGAAGCAGCCAATCCTATGGACTCCCCTCCGTATTCCCTGTGGTGCAGTGAGAGACTGTCTAGGGAGAGGAGCGGTGGCCGATAACCTGTCTAAATTTAACAGAAACAGGCATTGTTTCTGGCCTGGTGGGCCCAGTGAGTGCCTCTAAACATGGACAGCATAGTTGGGTTGTTGCTTATCGTTCTCTTCTCCCTCAGCCACTTCCATACAAGGTTGTGCTCGGAGCCTGTCACTTGCTACCCTGTCTGTGAAGCTCTCCTATCTGCCAGCTTCTTGTCGTTAACTGACACATGCAAGATAAAGGGGCTCCGCTGGCAGGTAGTTTTCTTCTCTCCTTGTGCGTGTGGTCATACTGTATGTGTCTGTGAGTGAGTGCGTATGTTTGTGAGGAAGGCAGGAATGTGCTGAGGACGTGAGAAGCACTCCTGGTGATTTTCCTCGGTTCCCAGGACCCCAGTCAGAGGATTTGACATCTTCTGATCCCGTGAGACATCCAGAAAGGTTTAGAGAAGTTGGCTTATATGCTTTGGTTGGAATGAGACCAGATGGAGTTCCTCAAAAAAGGTTCTTTATTGGCATCTATGGTTCCATGAAGAAGTTTTAACATCCATGGAGCCTTTCAATTGCATAAAAAAATTAAATAAATAAAAAGCCTGTTTATGCCACGCCATAAAAAATTTTTTTATCTCACATTTCTGACTTTTTTTCTTGCAATTGTGAGCTATCAACTCAGTATTATGAGATATAAAGTCAGAATTTCGAGATTTGTGAAATAAAAAGTTGCATTTACCTTTTCTTTATTTTTGATTCTGTGGCGGGAACAAAAACAATTGTGAGATGCACAATCAGAATTCTGAGGAAAAAAGTCAGAATTGTAAGATATAAACTTAGAATTGAAAGCTGTAAACTGAAAAACTGTGCATTTATATTTCGCAATTATATTAACACCAATGCAAAAATTAAATAAATTAAAAAAAATTTAAATCATTTATTTTTTATTCATTTCTCACGTCTTTAGTTTTTTTCTGTTTGACTGGGCATGATTTATCCA